TGCTCAGCGGCCACACACCGGGCAACCGCCTCGACCGGCGGGCTAAACCAGGTGAGGGCGCTGTGCGCTTGTGCCGCGTGCACAGTGTACTGCGGACTCCGCTGGATGTTTGGTCGGATGAAACACTGCGCCGGCATCGTCGGGACGAGGCTCTGCTTGGTACGCCGTTGGACAACTGCTGCCGGGACGGGCCTCCGCATCGCCTTCGCTGAGACGCGCCCACCTTCGCCGACGGAGACCGCGGACCTTCGGCATATGCGGTCGTCCTCCACTACAAACATAAAAGTCGTGGCCCCATAGTGGGATTCGGTCGCGCCAACCAGGCACATGGGCAGCCCGATTCAGGGGTGGCACTGCCTGCTCCCGCAAGGAGAAGGGCCTAGAAAAGGTGGCCTAAAAATTGCTGGGCACCACGCCGTCTGCAGGCCAGCCAAGGCCGCAGATGCCATCAACACGGTCGAAACAATCAAAATCGTAACAATAACAATACCAATAACAACAACAACAATCTTTCTCACTCTCCTAATCCTAACTCTTCTTCCTCTACCTCTGTCTATTCTTCTGCCTATTCTTCTCCTTCGTCATCTTCTTCTCCACCTCCTTCCCGTCGCCCCACTCGTTTTCCCCAGACTGACAGGGTGAGCCCGCTCACTCTGGCAGCCTGGAATGTTCGTTCCCTTTTAGACAATCCGAGGAGCAACCGACCGGAACGGAGGACGGCGCTTGTGGCCCGGGAACTGGCGCGCTACAAGGTGGACATCGCCGCACTCAGCGAGACCCGATTCTCCGAACAAGGCCAACTGGAGGAGGTGGGTGCCGGCTACACCTTCTTCTGGAGTGGTCGACCCAAGGCAGAGCGACGGGACGCGGGTGTCGCCTTCGCCATCCGGACCGACATCGTGGGACGACTGCCCTGCTTGCCGCAGGGAATCAACGACCGGCTGATGAGCCTCCGCCTGCCTCTCCAACGGGGAGGCAAATTCGCCACCATCATCAGCGCCTACGCTCCGCCGATGAGCAGCCCCGACGCCACCGCGAGAGACAAGTTCTACGAGGACCTGCACGCCCTCCTGGCGACTGTGTCGAAGGCGGACAAGTTGATTGTCCTTGGTGACTTCAACGCTCGTGTCGGCACGGATCACACTGCCTGGAGGGGAGTACTGGGCCCCCACGGTCTCCGCGGCCTCAACGACAACGGTCTGCTGCTGCTCCGCACCTGCGCAGAACACCGCCTCATCCTGACGAACACGTTCTTCTGTCTGCCGGAGCGAGAGAAGGCCACCTGGAGGCATCCTCGGTCGCGTCAGTGGCACCTGCTCGACTATGTCCTCGTTCGGAGTCGAGATCAGCGGGAGGTGCTGGTGACGAAGGCGATCGCGGGTGCTGACGGGTGGACCGACTAACGCCTCGTCATCTCGAAGATGCGTATTCGCCTACAGCCTCGCAGGAGACCACAAGGTAAGCGACCCCCAGGTAAGTTGAATGTTGCTTTGTTGTCTTTGCCTGCTCACCGTCTCCATTTCAGCAATGAGCTAGCTCAACGGCTAGACAACCTTCCTATCGCTGCCGCCGCCGCCGCCGCTGCCGAGAACGCCTCCGTGGAGAATCGCTGGTGTCAACTGCGAGACACGGTCCAGTCGACGGCGCTCGCCGTCCTCGGTCGCGCTCCCCGCCAACACCAGGACTGGTTCGACGACAACGACGCCGCCATCAGAAATCTGCTTGCTGAGAAGAACCGCCTACACAAAACCTACGTAGATCACCCCACTGAGGACAACAAAGCTGCCTTCTACCGCAGTCGCCGACAGCTTCAGCAACGGCTGCGCGAGATGCAGGACGCCTGGACTGCTCGCAAAGCTGAGGAGATCCAAGGGTACGCGGACCGCAACGAATGGAAGAACTTCTTCTCCGCGATCAAAGCTGTCTACGGTCCGCCGACGAAGGGCACTGCTCCTCTCCTCAGCGCCGACGGCTGCACTCTCCTGACTGAGAAGACGCAAATCCTACAGCGATGGGCCGAGCACTTTTGAGGCGTCCTCAACCGCCCTTCCGTCATCTCCAACGCCGCCATCGCCCGCTTGCCGCAAGTGGAGACCAACGCGGACATCGACCTCCCGCCATCTCTCCAGGAAACCTTCAGGGCCGTGCAGCAGCTCTCCAGCGGGAAAGCACCCGGATCGGACGCAATCCCTGCTGAGGTCTACAAGCACGAAGGTCCCCAACTGATGGATCACCTGACTGCGCTCTTCCAGGAGATGTGGCGTCAAGGTGAAGTCCCGCAAGATTTCAAGGACGCAACTATCGTGCACCTATACAAGCGCAAAGGGAATCGCCAAGTCTGCGACAACCACCGCGGCATCTCCCTACTACACATCGCCGGGAAGATCTTCGCTCGCATCCTGCTCAACCGCCTCAACAACCATCTGGAACAGGGCCTTCTGCCGGAAAGCCAATGCGGCTTCCGTCGTCATCGTGGGACCACGGATATGATCTTCGCAGCCCGCCAACTTCAGGAGAAGTGCCAGGAGATGCGGACCCACCTGTACTCTACCTTCGTGGACCTGACGAAAGCCTTCGACACGGTGAATCGTGAAGGACTGTGGAAGATCATGCAGAAATTCGGCTGTCCGGAGCGATTCACTCAGATGGTGCGTCAGCTGCACGACGGTATGATGGCGCGAGTCACGGACAACGGAGCTGTCTCAGAGGCATTAGCAGTGACCAACGGAGTGAAGCAGGGCTGTGTGCTGGCGCCTACCCTCTTCAGTCTCATGTTCTCTGCCATGCTGATGGACGCCTACCGCGACGAACGCCCTGGAATCCCCATCGCCTATAGAAAGGACGGTCATCTCCTGAATCACCGGCGCATGAACTTCCAATCGCGTGTATCCACAGCCACCATGCACGAACTCCTCTTCGCCGACGACTGCGCCCTGAACACCACCTCGGAAGAGGAGATGCAACGGATCATGGACCTATTCTCCGCCGCCTGCGAGAACTTTGGGCTGGTTATCAACACGCAGAAGACGGTGGTGATGCATCAGCCGCCTCCCAACTCAGCCACAGCCCCCAACGCGCCGCCGCAAATCAACGTGAATGGGACTCAACTGCAAATGGTGGAGAACTTCCCGTACTTGGACAGCACCCTTTCGCGCAACACCATGATAGATGACGAAGTCGCCAACAGGATATCGAAAGCCAGTTAAGCATTCGGCCGCCTCAAAAGCACAGTTTGGAATCGTCATGGCCTCCAACTGAGCACGAGGCTAAAGATGTACAAGGCCGTCATCCTGCCGACGCTTCTGTATGGAGCGGAGACTAAGACGGTGAACACGAAGCATGCAGGCCTACTGAACCACTTCCACCTCAGCTGTCTCCGTTGCATCCTGAGGCTGAACTGGCAGGACCGCATCCCCGACACGGAAGTACTGGAACGAACGGGAATCCTCAGCATCTACGCCATACTGAAACAAATGCAGCTGCGCTGGAGCGGCCACCTGGTGCGCATGGACGATGAGCGACTTCCCAAACGACTCTTCTACGGAGACGTTGCGACGGGTTCTTGTCGTCAAGGAGGCCAAATTCGCCGTTACAAGGATACCTTGAAGTCCTCCCTGAAGCGCCTGCAAATCAACCCGACCAACTGGGAAGAGCTCGCCCGCGATCGTCCGAAATGGAGGAGAACAGTGAAGACGGGCGCTGCTATCTATGAAGCCAACCGCATCGCCGCCGCCAAAGTGAAACGCGAAGCCCGCAAATTACAAGTTCGCCCAATACGCAACGCCGCCGCACAACCTCTCCCTACGTGTCCTCGATGTCAACGGACATTCCGGGCACGAATCGGACTTGTTGGACATCTTCGAACCAACTGCACCTCTCGAACTGCTCCATCCATCGTCCCCCAGCCCGCCGTTTCCTCGTCATCTCCTCCGCCAACTAACTCTGACACTCCTTCTGCACCACCACTTCCATCCTCCTCCTTCTCCTCCACTGCCCCAGCGGTGGCCGTTCAGGCTGCCGTCTCACACATCGCCAACCACGACACAACAACCGCAACCACCCCCACCCCTCCCGATTCCAGTGATGAGGATCAGGACTACAACTGCCCTCACTGTGACCGCACCTTCACCTCACACATCGGCCTGGTCGGTCACTTGCGAATCCATTGCACAGAGACTGGCCAACCAGTGCCTGGAGCACCAACCTACACTCACCGCACTCGCCTCCACTGCCCACACTGCCCTCGCACCTTCACTCATCGCATGGGTCTATTCGGCCACATGCGCATCCACGAGAGCGGAATTGACCACAATTCCGATACAGC